TCCCTGTTGATCATCTGCTTAGATAATCTGTCAATTGCAGTGAGGGGAGTGTTAAAGTCCCCTACTAGTATTATATTATTGTCGATGTGTTTGATTTTGTTATTAATTGGCTGCTCCCACGTTAGGGGCATAAATATTTACAATTGTTAGATCTTCTTGTTGGATAGACCCTTTAATTATGATATAGTGTCCTTCCTCATCTCTTATTACAGTCTTTGGTTTCAAATCTAATTTGTCTGATAAAAGGATTGCCACCCCAGCTTTCTTTTGATGTCCATTAGCATGATAAATGGTTTTCCACTCCGTCACTTTCAATCTGGAGGTGTCTTTGGGTCTAAAACAAGTCTCTTGCAGACAGCATATTGATGGGTCTTGCTTATTTATCCAATCTGATACCCTGTGTCTTTTGACTGGGGCATTTAGCCCATTTACATTCAGGAAAACTATTGAAAGATATGAATTTAGTGCCATTGTATTGCTGTAAGGTGACTGTTACTGTATATTTGTCTGTGTTCCTTTCTGGTCTGTACTACTACTCTCTTTACTTACAGGACCCCTTTGAATATTTCTTGTAGGGCTGGTTTGGTGAGCACAAATTCTTTTAGTTTCTGTTTGTCCTGGAAGCTTTTTATCACTCCTTCTATTTTGAATGACATCCTAGCTGGATAAAGTATTCTTGGCTGCATATTTTTCTCATTTAGCACGCTTACCCCATTTTTTAAATTGGGTTATTTCTTTATCTTGATTGAGTTCCTTATATAGTCATGATATAAGTCCTTCATCAGAGATGTTTGCCAATATTTTCTCCTCCTGAGTTATCTTTTCATTTTCTTGATGGTACTATATGCAGCACAGAAGTTTTTAATTTTGATGATGTTCAATGTGGCTATTTTTCCCTCCCATCACTTATACTTTTGTTGTTGCATCAATGAAGCTTCTGACTACCCAAGGTCATGAAGAGTTATCCCTTTATTTTGTTCAGCTCCTATACTATGTCTACAATCCATTTGAGTTAATTTTTGTGTAAGATAAAAGGAAGACATCTACTTTATTCTTTGGCATGTGGATGTCCAATAGCCCCAGCACAATTTATTAACCCCTTGATTTCTTTAACTACATATTTTGACTTTTTGTATTATATTTTTTTGTTGTTACTTGAAATCTATTGTGAAATGAGATTGGTGTAAATAAAGTAATTGACTTAAAATAATTATTTGACCAAGGTCATATGCTTTGTAAGTGTCAGAGCCTGGACTGAACCACAGGTCTTAGGATGTCAAGTTTCATGTTTTTGTGAGAACACAATATTACCTTTCATGTAAATACGTTTTAGATTTATTCATCAAAGATAAGAAAAGGTAAGCTTGAAACTATATTTTGTTATACATGGAATGACTGGAGATACTAAAGATTTTGCTTGCTTCTTTTTATATATGCCAATAATAACAGATAAAATCTGTTGAGCAATTTGTGTCAGAACTGTTTTAAACAGTGTATAACCTTGATCATCACAATAATCTCAGAAAAGAAAAACAAGTGTAAAAAAAAAAAAAAACCAAGAGAAAAGAAAAACAAGTGTCTACCCTACTCCCTCCTCTTTTTACAGATGGGGAAGCTAAGGCACAAAGATGTTAAGTAAATTGCCCAAGATTACATAGTTAGTAAATGATAAGAACCCAGGCAATCCAGCCTCAAAGACTGCATTGTTGTTGTTCTTCTTCTTCTTTTTAAAGATTTTATTTATTTATTTGAGAAAGAGAAAGAGAGACAGTGAGCAAGCACGAGTAGGGGGAGGAGCAGAGGGAGAGGGAGAAGCAGACTCCTCACTGAGCAGGGAACTGATATGGGGCTCGACCCCAGGACCCTGAGATCATGACCTGAGCCGAAGGCAGACGAGCCACCCAGGCACCCCAAGACCATGTTCTTCTTAACCTCTTTGAAAGCAAGTTACTTAAGAGAAAAGCATTCACCAGGCTATGCTTAAATGGATCAGCAACCGTCTAGAAAGTGAGAGTTAGCTCTTTTAATTATTGCCACTGCTGTCTCAGGTGAACAGAGAGTAAGCTCATCAGGATAGCCAACAGCTCTAAAAGAGGGAAATTATTAATACACTACAATCAGGTATAAAAATATTAAATGTTGGGGCGCCTGGGTGGCTCAGTTGGTTAAGCGACTGCCTTCGGCTCAGGTCATGATCCTGGAGTCCCGGGATCGAGTCCCGCATCGGGCTCCCTGCTTGGCGGGGAACCTGCTTCTCCCTCTGACCCTCCCCCCTCTCATGAGCTCTCTCTCTCTCTCTCATTCTGTCTCAAATAAATATATAAAATCTTTAAAAAAAAAAAAAGAAGAGTTTTTTAAACAAACAAACAAAAAATATTAAATGTTGATGATTAAATGAAGAAATAATCTCATTTTGGGGCACCTGGGTGGATCAGTCATTAAGCGTCTGTCTTCGGCTCAGGTCATGATCCCAGGGTGCTGGGATCGAGCCCCGCATCGGGCTCCCTGCTCAGCGGGAAGCCTGCTTCTCCCTCTCCCACTCCCCCTGCTTGTGTTCCCTCTCTCTCTGTGTCTCTCTCTGTCAAATAAATAAATAAAATCTTCAAAAAAAAAAAAAGAAATAATCTCATTTTAAAAACAGAAAAATAGGGGTGCCTTGGTGGCTCAGTCAGTTAAGCGTCTGCCTTCAGTTCAAGTCATGATCCCAGGGATTGAGCCCAGCATCAGGCTCCCTGTTTAGGTCTGCCCTTCCCCCTGCTTTCTCTCTCCCCCTCTCTAATAAGTAAAATCTTTAAAACAAAACAAACAAACAAACAAACAAAAAACCCCAGAAAAATAAGGGTGCCTATTTTGCCTTCGGCTCAGGTCATGATCCTGGAGTCCCGGGATCGAGCCCCGAATCAGGCTCCCTGGTCAGTGGGGAGTCTTCGTCTCCCTTTGCTCCTCTACCCCACTCATGTTATCAATCTCTCTCACTCTTTCTCAAATAAATAAAAATAAAATAAAATAAAAATAAAAACAGAAAAATATTTAACAGAGATACTGCAGTGGGTGGCACAACTAAAGACAAAAACCAATAATATAAATACCAGAAGGGAAAGGAAAGGCCGGTATAAATACAGAGGAAGGAACTCTGGAAGTCTCCAATGACCACAAAACGTCAACGAGGCAGTGTTGTGACAGGATGTGTTGAGAAGATGCGTAACGCAAAAGGGTTAGAGAGAAGTCGTTCCTTTATATCATATGCCAGTGAGACCCCTAGTAGAATGTGGACACCACTTTTGGTGCCATACTTCAAGAGGCATGGGGGGAAATCAGAAAGGGTTTGAACAAGAGAAACGAACAGACCCAAACAATAGGAAACAGTACTTGTTAGAAAAAGACCTTGCAGCTTATCTAAGACAGTAAAGGTTGATTTAATTATGGCCCTTAGAGAGGAAGACCACTGGAAGCCTCTTCCCCAAACCCTATAGGCTTTGGCTCTTTCCAGTCATTTATTTCTCAGTCTAATATCACTTTCTTAGAGGCTTTTATCCTAAGTAGACTCCTCAGTTTCTAGCACATTGTTCTGTTTTATTCCCTTCGTAGCATGTAACAATCTGAAGTTCTCACTATTTTAATGAATATCCTCTTGTCCCATTAGGATGTAAGCTGTTCAAGAGCAAAAACCTCGAACACTGCTTTATGTCTAGTACATACTTCTTACATCTGGTATGTATCTGGGAAATAGTATTTTACAAATACTTGTAGCATCTGTGAAGAAGCAACAAGGAAAATAAGTTTTCAAATCAGAGATGGCAGATAGCAGTAAAACACCAGAGGAATTACTTAATAGTCAAAGTAAAACACACACGCTGCTGAAGGATACTGTGAGCCTTTAAGAACAGTCACTCGTCTGTCTTAGGTATCTTACAAACTCACCTGCCTTAAGGCTAAATAATTTCTAGTGGTTACTCCTAACTCTATGATTCAATACTTTACAGCATGAAGTCTTACAAGAAGCAAACAAATAATCATTAAGTTATTACGATGTACTGAACAGTGTTCTAAGGCTTTACACAAATCAAATCATTTAGTCCTCGTAATTCTGAGATAAATTCTTTTCTTCATAAAATGGAAGCTCTTTAGCTTAAAGATATTAAATAATTTGCCCAAAGTTCCTCACCCAGCTCACATGTGGTGGAGCTGGGATTTAAATCCAGACAATTACACAACTTATGCCACTCATTTAAGGCTGAAATAAATTTAAACAAAGCAAAAATATATTAAACAGGAAACAACTGGTTGGTAAGTTACGGCATAGAAGTTAGGTGACATGGATTTTCTCTTCTCTGGTTTGATAAGCTTGCTATGTGGATCCTTTCAAATTCTGTCTTGCTGTAATGTTCCAACACATCTTGGGGTTATTGTTAATATACTATTTTTTCCTTTGTAATGATGTCTTTATTCAAAAAATATATATTTATAATGAAGCATTCCTGTCAAACTAGAGAAACAATATAATGAACCTCCATGTATAGACATATCTTAAATAATTATCAACATGTGGCCAATCTTGTTTTATGTTTACTGAAAATACAAATACTGAATCACTTCAAAGGAAATCCCACTATGTTATTAATCGCAGTCTTTATTCTATCTCTAAAAAGATTTCATTAAGTCTGAAATGCATCTAAATTCCTTTCTTTCAAGTAGAATTGCTAGCAATACAAGGAACAATCCTGAGAGGGGATTTCTGTTATCAAAAGGAAAACCAAAGGACAGTGACAAAAATAATTTCTCAAAAAAAAAAAATTACTAAATAAGTGATGTGCATTTAGAAATGTGATAACATCTTAGATACTACATTATAGCAAGAACTAAATATAAATTAGAAAATATAAGTTTTAAGAAAAAACTAACTGGGGATTTTGTGTCTATCATGCTGATAAATATTATTTCCAAATGTTATGAGAGACCAACAAACACAAAAGTAGAAACAATTAAATACCAACATATACCTGTTTGTCTCCCAGGTCAGGGTCCCCTTTACTAGAATCAGAGCTGACATCGTCTTCGTCAGAACTGTTCATGTCTTCTTCCTCATCCGAAGGAAGTTCACCAAGACCAAGATCATTGTGTCCCTCCTGGGATGCTCCAGAACTGCTTCAGTAGAGAGTATCGCATAAGTCACCTTTAATAACAAGGAATACTCCCCAAAACCCACACAGGATCAACCATCTTATTCCTATGATGTAAGCTAGGTATACCTAAGGGATGTGAACACAAGATGGAAATAGCCAAACTTCCCCTTCTCTTTCACTATCTCAGCTGTCAAAAACCCAAATTCATTTTCCCAGCTGCCCTAATCCTATGCTTCCATAGCTTCTTCCTTGAAAAGATCAGGTCTTTAATCCTATGAACCACGAAGTCCCCTAAGTATGTAGGCTAGGTCACCACAAAAGGGCACTCACTGGCTACATGGGAACATTAGAAGAGGTGGTGTTTCCCTGGGTCTGTTTTTCTTTTTTTTTTAAAGCAACTAACAAATCTACCAGAATTGGGAGGTAATAAACAACGCATGTGCTACTGTGAACATGTGCCCAGCCTCCCTGATTATCCCCTGTTCCTTTTATGTAACCACATCATAAGAAATGGGAAGGGACGAGGATGTTAAAAATTCTCAGGCTCTCATTTGCAACGACATGGATGGAACTGGAGGGTATTATGTTGAGTGAAATAAGTCAAACAGAGAAAGACATGTATCATATGATCTCACTGATATGAGGAATTCTTAATCGCAGGAAACAAACTGAGGGTTGCTGGAGTGGGGGGTGGGGTGGGAGGGATGGGGTGACTGGGTGATAGACACTGGGGAGGGTATGTGCTCTGGTAAGCGCTGTGAATTGTGCAAGACTGTTGAATCTCAGATCTGTACCTCTGAAACAAATAATGCAATATATGTTAAGAAAAAAAAAAGAAGAAGAAGGTAGCGGGAGGGGAAGAATGAAGCGGGGGCAATCGGAGGGGTAGACCAACCATGAGAGATGATGGACTCTGAAAAACAAACAGGGTTCTAGAGGGGAGGGGGGTGGGAGGATGGGTTAGCCTGGTGGTGGGTATTGAGGAGGGCACATTCTGCATGGAGCACTGGGTGTTATGCACAAACAATGAATCATGGAACACTTCATCTAAAATTAATGATGTAATGTATGGGGATTAACATAAGAATAAAAAAAAAAGTTAAAAATAAATAAATAAATTCTCAGGCTCTGATCCAGACCTGCTGAATCAGAAACTCTAGGGGTGCAGGGCCCCTAGGGGATACATGTTGGAAGTTTGAAAATCACTGTACCAGGCCATTTTTACCAGCTCCAACTCGCCAGCCTGACATCAACATTTCCCACTTTGTACTGAGACAGATCTCTTCAATCTAAGAGCCACTGTTGCAATCCAGTCTGTGGGGGGGAATTCCATAGCAAAGTTCCCCAGGAAGACAACAAAAATAATTCTTTCTAACTTTGGTTGTAAAGACTCAGGAACACATTATCTGCAGCAACTGCTTTCCTGTCTGCAGTCCAAAAGAATATCTGCAGAATAGAAGAGTCAGTAAAAGATTCACAGAAAATCATCAGGGGGAAACACTCAGAATAAAGAGACAGCTGCATTTCACCCAGGCAGGTCCCTTTACGGGTCAAGGGCAGGTCACTCAACTGCCAAGGCTCCTACAAGTTATGAAAATTTCTAACAGGAATCTTAAAAGCTAAAGTTGAATTCTCTGCCAGTTCCTGATTACACATTGTAGGATATAGAAAGCCTCAGATGCCATTCCTGGAACTCAACTGTTATACAAACCAGTTTGATGAAGGCAGAATGCCAAAAGGAACACCTCCCACTTCCAAAGACAGGGGTTCTTTATTATTCAGTAGCTGGAGGGCCTCGGGGAATCATATCACAGCATCAAGTAGGTGGGTGCGCACCTGATCATAGCTCCATGACATGGAGGAGACTCACTCCCCAGGGAGGAGTTGGGGGTGGAGAGCGGAAGCTTCCTAGTCAGATCACAGGCAAGATTCACTGTCTCTGGGTGCAGGGACAGGAGCCCAACCCAGCTGGGCAATTATGTGATTTAAATTAGCTAGAGTAAATAAAGTTAACGGGATAGAGAGACTGCAGGATACATCCATATAAATAAAAGAAAACGTACCTTCACTTGTTTTTTATCGTTAATTCTTTATCTCTTTACAGCCTCTAAAACCCTGTTACTTAAAACATGCTCAATCTATGAGCAGCTTCAGCATCACCAGGAAGCTTTTTAAAAATACAGGACTTCAGGCCTCACCCTACTGCACTGAATCACAATCTGGTTATAACAAAATCCCAGTAATCTGGTTTTTCAATCAGTGCACTCTTTTAGACTCAACAGTATAAAAATTTTGAATAATAAGTAACAGAGCTTGTAGCAGCTGCAAGGAACTTAGGTTTATTTTGTCTGAAGGGAGAGCTGAGAGGTGTTTCTTTTTTTTTTTTAAGATTTTATTAATTTATTTGAGGGAGAGAGAGCACACGAGAGGGGGGAGGGTCAGAGGGAGAAGCAGACTCCCTGCTGAGCAGGGGGACTCAAGCCTAGACTCCAGGATCATAACCTGAGCCCAAGGCAGTCGCTTAACCAACTGAGCCACCCAGGCACCCCGAGAGCTGTTTCTTGGTCCAACATTTGGAAAACCATTATTAAGGAGATAGTAAGCATCTAGTTGCCACAACCATTAGGGATATAAATATTTACAAAAGTTAACATTTAAGAACAAGGAAAAAAAAATCTTTAAATATTAAAAGGATATGGATCAAAACATAACTGCCACAAAATATTGGGAGATTTTTTAAAGATTTTATTTATTTATTTGTCAGAGAGAGAGAGCACACAAGCAGGGGAAGTGGAAGGCAGAAGGAGAAGAAGGCTCCCCGTTGAGCAAGGAGCCCAATGCGGGACTTGATCCCAGGACGTTGGGATCATGAGCTCAGCCGAAAGCACATGCTTAACCAATGAAGACACCCATGCGTCCCATGTTGGGAGATTTTAGTTCTGAAAATTGCTTTCCTATAGAAAACCTTCCCTGGCTACCCCTTCCCTCTCCCACATTAGTTTACTTGTCTCTTCTGAATCCCACACCATCTCCTTCCACTGTTCGTGCTGACATATTTGTTTCCCTAGCTAAAATGTAAACTCCTAAAAACAAGTAAAGGGTCTTTTTCATTTGAATCCTCAGCATATTGCTTGAGACATAATAGGCCCTCAGTAAATTTTTACTGAATAAACAAAAATTATATGAGGAAGCAAAGGGTGTTAAATTTCCGAAGTTCAGAAGATAAGTATTTATGGTGGTGGTGATCACAAAGAAAGGTTTGGGGGGTAATACTGGAATAGTGTGTGGTTTATAGGAGAAGGGCCATCCTAGCCATCATAATCAATGGTGTGGAAGTGGGGATGTCTGTATTCAGAAAACAAAAAGAACACTTTGGCTGCAGCAGGAGTCTCCTATACATGATTAATGGGAAAAAAAGCTTGGGGAGGATGACAGGTGCCAGCTTGTCAAAGGTCATAAACAATAGAAGAGTCCATACTCATCCTGTAGGCCTTTAACAAGAAGACTCAACTCTTCCAGTAGACCTCAAAGATTTCCTTAATAGAACTCCAAGGCAAACATCATTACCATACTTCTCTCTTGTTAGTGCCAACAAGGAAGAGAATAATACCTCTTCCATCAATCCAGCCTTGTAGGCACAGCCTCTGCGCCACTCCCCCCACCCAACAAGGGAAAAGGACAGCCCTGCTAATTAGCATCAGTGAGATCCTCTTGATGATCTCAAAAGATTAAACTGCAGTGAAAGGAGCTCCCCATACCTCTGGATGGTAAACAGGAGAGACCATTTATGATTTCTGAAGCTTAGAAGGGAGGAAAGTGAGCAAAGTGAGGTTTTAGGAAGGCTAATCTTGTAACCCAATGCCAGTGAACTAACTGGGGGCCGAATGGAAGCGGGCACCATGACAGAAGTAGATGGGGATATAAGAAGTAATTTCAACAGTGCAGAAATGAGGTTAGCTACATGAGGAATTAAGAGGAAGGGTTGGATATAAGAGTTAAAAAATCATCAGGGTAAAGAGGTAGGAAAAAACCTGAGTCTTCCTTCAAGATTTCATGAACAGTCACCAGCAAAATGAGGGCGACATTAACTGAAATATAAAGATCTTAACAAGGGATATGATATTAAAGGAAAGATAATGGGTTTAGCAGCAAAATCAAGAAAGATGGCATGTAGTATCCACACTTACACGTTCATCTCTACGTGATCAGAGAAAAATTGTTGATTAATCTATTTTCCCATGTAATCCTTAAAAGCTTTCAAATCTATAGATCTCTGATAATGAAATATGGATTCCTTACCGATGCCAGTCATTAAGCTGGGGGCTCTTGTATTCTTTACATTTCCCTCCCACTATCAGGAAGATAATGTCCTAATACTGTTGGCTTTCTGGGTTAAAGGAACAGGACATAGTGTTTCCTCTATACTTTCCTGCCCGGTTATTTCATAATTTGATAATCGAAGTAAAAGGAAAGTAAGCTGCAACCACAACCAGGACAGAATCAGGACTGGGCTCTACCTCCCAGGCCATCCTTTCCAAGTCCAATTTGTTTCTGGATGGAGTAAGGACAAAGAGAATAACACCAGAAATAAATTCCCACTGATTAGGCAGCTGTTCTTCAGTTCCACAAGTCAAGGATCGACACATTTGGACTGGTATTTTAATGCTATCACTTTTTTAAAAATTACTTATTTTTTGTTTATGTTTTTGCAATATAGGGACAGTATACCCTTCACTGGAAGTACATCAAATTTCTTTTTCAGGTTAAGATGTCACTCGAAGGAGGATTTCTCTTTTAGAAGGAATTGTCTTTTTAAAAATACTTATTTAATCCATCTCCCCTAAGAGTTTTCAGGAAAGTGAAACCTGTACAGCGCTAAGCCAGACATCACCACCAAAACATTCTTGTGAGCCTCCATTAAACTGGAAATTCCAGCAAAGGGAGGGGAAGGAGGACAAGGATAGCAGAGAAAGGAAAAGGAGAAGCAGAGTGAACTGAAGAACACTTTGAAAGCACTGA